TTTGAATACTTCCATAAGACATATATCCATTCAAACCACTTACTAAAAGCCATCTCATGAATTTATCCAACACAAATCAATCTAAACTTGACTACTAATCAATTATCCATTCAATCAACTTATAGCAAGCAACTTTGCATATTTGTCCAATTCAATCAACTCATATGCACCCAAATGGAATGATCAACAAGAGATATACCTTGGCTAGCTCATGATCATCCAACTAGCAAGATTTAAATCAATTATTTGCAAGTCATCAAATATATCCAATGAATCACCAACAACTTGAATATAACACTTGTATGTTGATAGCACTTAGACTTCACTCAATTTTCACTTGGCATTGGGTTTGGATGTGCACTAGGCTTCATATCTTGACTCAACATATGATGATCAATATAAAATCACCTGAATCAAGTCTCCAATGCCGATGGTATCTACAATCAATCATCCACTTTTTGATGATACCCAAATAAGTTTGGGTCCTCTCAAGTTAGGAGCAACATACTTAGGCATAGCCTTAGTATGAGTAGCGGGATATTTTGCAATAGCAACCATAGAGGCACCATTACCATCCTTTCTAAGCACATTATCATCAACAATTGAAATAGGCTTAGAAATGTCACCTAGGGGACATGAATGTGCCATGTGTCCCTTTTCCCGGCATGAATAACACTTTCTCTTTGATTGAGCCTTTTCTTCCTTGCTCATGTGGTGCTTCTCATTGCCTTGCCTCTCATGGATTGCTTGAGCCTTCTTCTCAAGCTTGGTAGGACACTTAGAGGCAAAGTGTCCCATACTTCCACACTTGAAGCACTTGATGTGAGCATAATCTTTCTTCTCATCTTCATTCTTGCTCATCATCTTGGCATCTTGAGTTTGCATTGAATGCCTTGCCTTTCCACCCCTTCTTATTTCCTTCTTATTTTCTTCTTTATCATCAAAGCACCACCATCTTCATGGTTGATCTTGATTTGCTCTTGAGGTGTCTTCTCTTGCTCAACTTGTGGCTTTGGTTGAGGTTCTTCTAGTTGCTTCACCAATTGCTTGGTTGGGCACATTGAGGTAAGATGACCCCAAGTGTGGCACTTGAAGCACTTAACATGTCTTAGCCTTTCTTCTTCCTTCTTCAACTTGAGCTTTTCTTCATTGGGGCAATAATTTGCAAGATGTCCCACTTCATGGCACTTAAAGCACATGAAATGGGAGAGCTTCTCTTGTTCTTGCTTCTTCATCTCTCTTTCATATCTTCTCTTGCCCCATCTTTTGCCCTTGATTTTACTCTTGTTGAAGCCAATGCCACTTGTGTCATTGTGGCTTTCTTGATGATTGACTTTGCTAGTCCTGAAGCTGACTCCGCTCTTGTCACCAAAGTTTCTTTGAGTCTTCAACATATGCTCAAAGGTGACTTGAGAGTTGTAGCACCTCTCTAACTCGTTGCTCAATTTCTTCACTTGTTTATTGAGCTCATTGTTCTCCTTCAAAAGGTTAGTTTCACAAGACATAGAAGTAGAACAAGCATTTATATGTGAAGAGCATGGCATATCTAACAAATCATCACAAGAGGTGGATATATGCTTCTTGCCTACATCCAAGGGTTAGCAACAATATATGATTGATTAATTGATCCATGTGATGAGCTCTTATTATTTTTAAGTTTCTTTGTGAATGCTTTAATGAGAGAAGCATGTTGTTTCAATAATTCATCATGAGATGCAAGTAGTGTCTCATGATTCAATTTTAGCTCATTATGTGAAGATTTATAAGCATCAAGTAATTTCTTATGTTCTTCACAAGAGTTCTTTAGAAATGAGTTTTCATTTTCTAATTTCATTGTTTTAGCTTTCTCATTTTCTAAAGACATGGTCATGCTAGCAAGTCTACTAACAAGCTCATCATATGAATCAACATGATCAACCATATTATCATTTGATACCTTGATGTCACCTTGTGACATGAGACAATGTGGTGTAGTTGGAGAGCTTGTAGTAGCATCTTCATCATGGCTTGAGCATGAACCATTATCACCATCAAGTGTGCATGGGGTAGCATCATCACTTGCAACACTTGTGGCATCATCATAATCCTTGTCAAGTGAACTTGTAGTGGATCGATCATCATCATCATCATCACTTCACCATGAGGTGGAGCAATCTTTCACAATCACCAAGTTGTGATCATGCTCGACACACTCATGCACCTCCTTCTTAGGCTCATCCTCCTTTTTGAATTTGCCATCATCCTATGTGGAGGAATCACCGAAGGTTTCCTTGATGGACTCCCATATCTCACGAGCGGTTCCCTTAATGTTTACTTGTTTCATCAAATCAAAGCTCAAAGCATTCATTAGATAACAACAAGCATGTGCATCAAATTCATAGAGAACTCTTTGAGCTTTGGTGAGATTTCTATGATCCAAGACATGGGTGAGACCGCTAGTAACAACCCACCAAAATTTAGGTCCCTTTGCATGAAAATGATCAAGCATGTGATTTTTCCAAAGTGCAAAGTTTGTGCCATAAAAAATATGTGTCTCACAAACATCTAGCCCATTTGACGCCATCCTCTCGGGTCGGTGAAGACCACAAATGAGGGACCAGGCTCTGATACCACTTGTAGGGTCGAGATGGCGGACTAGAGGGGGGGTGAATAGTCATTTCTAAAATTAATTGCGTCGGCTAACCAAAACAAGTGCGGAATTAAAACTATCGGTTTAGTCAAGACTACATCCCTCTATCTATGTTCTCTAGCACCTTCCAAGGATACTAATTAAGCAACAAAGGTGCCGGGCTAGCTAGAGCTTACCTAATCAATTCTAAAAGCAAGATCACACAAACCTATGCCACTAGTACTTCAAGCAACAAGGAAGCTCCTACACAAATTAGTAAGCAAAAGCACAAAGTTACCTTAGCTTACTAGCAATGCTCAATAACAATGCAACCAATGCTAAATTAGAGAGCGCAATTACTTAGTTACACAAACTAAGCAATGTGACTAACAAGGTTACACAAACCAAATTAGCCACGCAAGGGAGCTACTTCTATGCTACACAAGCAAGAAGGTAACTAGTAAGCTACACAAGCTAACTAATTGCAAGAGCAACTACACAAGCACAATGTATATGAAAGAAGTACAAGCTTGTGTAACAAGGACGTAAACCAACGGGAAGAATAAGGTTGACACGATGATTTTTCTCTCGAGATTCACGTGATTGCCAACACGCTAGTCCCCGTTGTGTCGACCGCTCACTTGGTGGTTTGGCGGCTAATTGGCATCACCTGCCAAGCCCGCACGTCGGGCACCGCAAGAACCTATCCCGAAAGTGAGGGTAACTCAATGACACGCTCAACTAGAGTTGCTCTTCGCGGCTCCCGCGGGGCGAGCACAATGCCCCTCACAAAGCTCTTCTCCGAAGCACCGTACAAGCTTCTTGCGGGTTTCGACGGAGACCACCACCAAGTCATCTAGGAGGTGGCAACCTCCAACAGTAACAAGCACCACCGGCTTGCAACTCGATCACCTAGTGCCACTCGATGCAACCTCACGATGCAATCGCACTAGAATCGCTCTCTCACACAATCGGCTGATCACTATCAAGCATATGTGAGATGGAGGGCTCCCAAGTACTACCACACAAGCCACCAAGGCTTTTGTGTTCAAACTTTAGATAGAATATTGCAGAATTATTTAGACAGATCTGATTTTTTTGAGTTCTAAACAGATCTGATGGGTTCAAAATTTACAGTTCAAACATCAGATAGATTTTGCTTGCAGTCTTTACTAGCGAATGATAGTTCATTATCTCTCCTCCTTCCTCAAGCTATTACTGTATGCGGAACATTGTAGTATCGTTTCCTCGTGCCTTGTTTGTATAGCGATGGAGGCATGGATCGATAGATATGCAACTATCTTCAGCAAAGACATGCAAATCAGTAGGTTCAGATGCCGTGTGCTGTTCGTCGAGTATGAGTGTTTTTTGAGCTTTACCGTGTGTCTGTGGCACCAGGTAAAACTACGGTTTCCGGTAGTGAATCATGTCTTCCTTTTAGGGTTGCATTCCACGGCCCCGTTCGTTTCGCTGAAAAAACAAGACGAAACACTGTTCCGACTGATTTGTCGTGAAAGAAAACACTGTTCCAGATGAAAAAAGAAGCTGAAAAGTACGGATTATAAGATAAGCGAACATGACCATCATGTCTTGGTATAGCAGATCATTTAACCAAATGTTAGGAGGTGTGTCGGGAGAATGTTGCATGGGGTGTTCGGATACTAATAAAAAAATAAATTACATAATCCGTCAATACTCCCCGAGACGAATTTTTTAAGCCTAATTAATTCGTCATTAGCATATGTTTACTGTAGCAAAACATTGTCAAATCATAGGTTAATTAGGCTTAAAAGATTTGTCTCGCAAATTAGTCGCAAACTATGTAATTAATTTCGTAATTAGTCTATATTTAATACTCCATGCATGTATCAAACATCCGATAGGACAGCGGCTAAAATTTAAGAGGGGCAACCGTGCTATTGCAGGACCTCCGACAATAGTAAAATTCTTCCCGCTGTGTATATATATATGAGAATCGGTGCGAAACCATTTCGAGCGCCACGGAAGAAAAAGGAGAATAGTTTCGAAGATAAATCGTTTGGCTCTATGTGTGTTTGGCACCGTTCTTGTCATTCATTCCCACGAGAAACGGAGAAGATTCACTCGTCCAAACAAGCTCTAGAGTCTAAACATACGACTTCTGATCTCTATTCTTTTTTTTTTTTGCCATAATATATTTTTGCTTACAGCCCGTCGGTTGGGCATATAAAAAGGGATTCGAATGTTCACAGCATAAAAAATGGTAAGAATATACTTCTCTCGAGTTACATTTTTTAAAGTTGACATTTGAAGACTCGTCGCCCAATTATAGCAAATATTTAAATATATTTCGGTCCCGGGCCGCCCCTGGGAAAAGACAGGACTCACAGGTCGACCCCGCGTGGGCTTCCAAATGCAGGTGAAATCTGGTCCGTGGCCGAGTTCCACGTGGGCTTCAGCTAGGGGGAAAGGCTGGGACATTCACGGGGAATTTGGGCTTCCAAACAAGCCCCCAAAGGCCCAGCAAACTTCTTACTTCTCTGACCTGGATCGGACGGCCAGGGTGTCGCTTCTCCTGATCCAACGGCGCTACCGGACTCGCACGCCACTTTATAGGCCACTCCCACCGCCGAACCCTAGTTTCTGTTTGGACTTCCGCCGCGCTTCGCCCTCTCGCTCCAGCCGCTTCACGCCGCCGCCGCCGCCGCTCGCCTCTCCGACTGCCGCGAGGATGGTACGTCGATCGCGCTTAGTGGCGTTGGTTCCGGTAGGGATTATGAGTTGTGCGGGGTTTGACTTGGGGTTTTGTGTGCTTGTGCTATGTGTGCAGCCGTTCAAGAGGTTCGTGGAGATCGGGCGCGTGGCCCTGGTGAACTACGGCAAGGACTATGGCCGTCTCGTCGTCATCGTCGATGTGGTTGACCAGAACAGGGTAAGTAAGGGCTGAGCTCTCTCTTCTAGATGCTTGTCGTTCTGTTCGCTGTTGTGATGTCGATCTAGAACTTTAGGGGAATGCTTTTGTACCAGTGGTAATAATTGGTTGGTATGTGCTGCTCTTCGTGAGAAATATGAAGACGATATATGGCTGTATTTCGGAGCACCTAATGCAATTTATTTATTTGAATTGGCCAAGTAGCGTTGCCTCATGTCCTCATCTAGCGGTTAACCATACCCACTCTTAAGTCATACTCTTAAGACAAATGGAGGAGTTAGTGCCTTAGCTTTTGGCAATGCCAGGAGGCTAAGGGTTACCTGGCAAACTTGTTCCCTGAATGAACCAAGGACCCATTCTCATGTTTAGATTGCTTTTAAGACAACAAAAGTACAATATTTAACAATGTATATTTGTGGTGTCTTAATTATTTGTCTTGCTGTAATTGATTTGGTTAAGCATTCAATCTCATAGTCTTGATGCATTCTGTGAACCAGGCTCTTGTGGACGCCCCTGATATGGTCAGGTGCCAGATCAACTTCAAGCGGCTCTCACTTACTGACATCAAGATTGACATCAAACGTGTCCCCAAGAAGACAACCCTGATCAAGGCGATGGAGGAAGCTGGTAATGATGAAGCTTATGCTGTGGACCTCTTCAGCATCGTTTTGATTTATTTATCTACTAGATTCTAGATGATTGTCCGGAAGAGAATAGTGACACTTAATTGATCTCTTGTTATTCTTTTTCAGATGTGAAGACCAAGTGGGAGAACAGCTCATGGGGCAAGAAGCTGATTGTCCAGAAGAGGAGAGCAGCGCTCAATGACTTTGACAGGTTCAAGGTCATGCTGGCAAAGATCAAGGTCAGGAATCTCTCTGTCAAATGTCTAGTTCCTGTTGGCACTGTCTATATTGCTTACTCACACTTTTTTCTTTTTGTAAACAGAGGGGTGGTGCTATCAGGCAAGAGCTCGCCAAGCTGAAGAAGGCATCCACGGCTTAGTCTCTTTCGGTGGATGGCATGTTACAGTTTTTGGTTCCTAGTTGGATCAGCAATTCGATCGAGTGTTGTCAAAGCCAGAATTAGTAATATGTTTCTTGTGAACCCATTTCAAACTTTATCAAGCATGGGTGTATTCTGGATATTTTGTCGTGGATGTTATGGAATATCTAAGGTAGCCTGCGACAAATGTGTGATCCTTACCATTTCTGTTTTGTTTATTGCTAGTGTTTTTAGGCAACCAGGATATTGGCATAATCTATTTTACAATCTTGTCTAAGCTGGCATTTCTTTTCACTGCCTGCATGCCTATGTGGTCTTTGAATGGAAAGTTGCTCCAGTAGTTCTCAAAGTGTTTTCTACCTCATCCATGCCATCCAGCAATGAAATTGCTGTACTTGGTCCATAATTTTGCTATGTACTCGATGCACATCTTGCAGCATGCTAGAAATCCTTTGCTGAAGTGTTTTTTCTTCTTCTTAAGAATGCACGGGGGAGTATCCAGATATACTAAGGTGAGGCACCCGTGCCAGTGCCAGCGCTCTTTGACGAGGCAGGCAAATCATGAGCTCTTTTCGAACTCCCACAGGTGGCTTGCGCAGTGACTCATGGGATTGCAATGGCCAATGGATGCTCGGCCAGGCATACTAGCTAGCTATGGCTGCTCATTGAACATATCTGAAAGTTTGGCTGGCAGTGTCATTACTTTCGGATGCATTGGCTGTTTCTGCCCATATGCAAATCTTATTATCTACTCCATCCATTCCAAATTATAAGGAGTTTTGGCTTTTCTAGATACATTGATTTACTATTTCAAACATATCACAATTCTTTCTCAATTCACTATGACTTAGCCAAATATGATCAATCTTCATATCGTTCCCAATGGTGAGTTTGAAGTTCTTCACTAACGGTAACGATACAAGTCTTTAGACATGTATGTAGTGGATCGGACTTAAAAGTGCTACCAAATGGCTGTTTCTGGATTGTCCTTTTATGTAAAGCTTGGCTTGGTCGAATTGCTTCTTGGCTTACAAATGAGTTTTTACAAATGTTGATATCTGGAGCTGATTAAAAAAATGGCCAGATTAGGATAGAGAAGAGAAGTTATGAAAGGCGCACTACAATGTACAGACATATTTACTTAGAATTTTGTTGACTCATGTGTATGTTTCAACCGTTAGGTGGTTTTGGAACTTAAATTCAAGAAGAGTAAGGTACATCTGAAGTTCACTTGTAGGTGTCACATAGATGATGACTGTTCACTATCTCTATCTTCTCTATGCTTGAATTCAGAACTGTAGATAGAATGTTGCAAAATTGTTTAGACAGGTCTGATAGGTTCAAACCTTACAGTTCAAACATCAGACAGATTTGCTTGTAGGTTTCACATGGCTGATGGTAGTTCATCATCTCTTCTCCTGCCTGAAGTTACTACTGTATGCGGAACATTGTAGTATTTCTTTCTCGTAGTGATAGTAGCAATAAACATATTTGTTTTTTTCTTCTCCTGCCTGGTTTTTACAGCCATGGAGCCATGGAGGTAGCAACTCTGGCGTCTCTTCCTATGAGTATGCACTTACAAGTATGCAATTATCTTCAGCAAAGACCTGCATAATCTGCAGGTCCATATGGCTGGAACCATTCAGCTAGGAATCCTTTCTTCCTTTTAGGGTTGCATCCCATATCTTGGCACAACAGATCATTTAACCAGATGTTAGTGGTGCTTATGCAGGACCTGCGAAAATATTTCCCGTTGTATAGATTCTTGTACTCTGCCCATTCTGTTACACTCTTCTCCATACATCTTATGCTTGGCAATTTGAAGCCACCGGCCAGAAAATGAGCTACCCAATTGCTCATCCTCTCTGAGGCATATATATTAGTAAGGCTCTCAGAGTAACCGACTATAGCCAACTGAGGAATCCGGGGATGGATACATTCTCTGTATTGTATTCAATCAATTAGATAAAATGAGATTACTGAAACCAACATACTATTGACTTTAACAAGTGAACTTTAAAATTTGAAAAAAAATTATACTGACTTCATATCTCAAGTTGATTAATATTGTATCATCTACAATCCAACCGAAGTTAAACATGCCTACTGTTATGTCCTAGTCTCTAGAGGCACTCCGAAAATCAAGACTATTCAAAATCTGTTACTAGTATAAAGCATGGCCAAAGGATGCATGTTTCTTTAATCACTGTGAATAGATCGCTTTCATGGAAATTGTGCAGTGGTGCACTATGTTCGCTTGTCTTATGAGTCGTACTTTTTCAGCGAAGGAACAGTGTTTTTCTTTCACAACAAATCAGCGAACGGTACTTTTCAGCTTGTCTTTTCAGTGAAGCGAAACTGAACTATATGTTATATCTGGTCTTCAAAAAAGTCCTGTGATGTGGCTTCCTACTTTATCATTGAACTGTTATTTGTTTGTTCTTTCATTCAATACACGTTTCAAACTTGTTAACTGGTGAGTGCCTAAGTGGTACACTAGTTTTGTGGAGTTGATGTTCTCCCTTGTCCATTGCAGCTCTGATATCAAATGTAGTGTTGATTGGTACTTCAAATATGCAGACAAAGGTGTACCTGTATAGAGGAGCTGCTGTATCCGGTGATCCTGCTACTATCCTTCTGCACCAATTTGCTGTGAAGATGTCCCTAAGCTTCTGATCTCCTCTGAATCCTGTTGCCAGAATTACAATATCACTTTTTATGGTTTCATTTCTGTCTTGCAGGATGATTCCATCACTAGAAAAGTTGAATGCCTTAGATTTCTTTAGAATAATGCTGCCTTTGTCGACCCTGTCATAGAAACCTTCTGGCAGCATTGCAATCAAGCATGAAGACATAGCAAAGGAGAAGCTGTAGTCAGGGACCATCCCATGCTTTTGTAAAGGAATGCTCCACTTGTAGTATGTTTCAATTACTTTAGAGATCGCCCACCTCTGAAACAATAGGTAAACTTTAAGCTATCTAGACTCTACAGGCTATTGTCTGAATGTGCTCTTTATTTGAAGATGTGATCTTATAATTACCAAGGGAGAGAGTGCAGCGGCCAACATATAACGTAAAAATCCTTCACCAGGTTTATGAACTAGAAGCTGCGAGATGCGATTCAGATAGAAGTAACTGAGGTCAACTCCCCATATGCTGGACTTGTGGACCAGCCAGTGCTTTGTTCTATATATGATGGTGCATGGCTGTGTGGCACCTGCATTGAAACAGAACTGTTAACCACCATACTCTTTAGAATTATTTTCTCTAGTTAGATTAGAGAAGTTCTAGTTGTGGACTTACCGTTCACCTTGGCAACGTCTGCGGCAATGTCAAATGCTGATTTACCAGAGCCAATTATGGTCACACGCTTCCCCTTAACAAACTGAGCAACATCATCCATGTAAGAATAGTCCAGTGAGTGCAGTATTTTCCCCTTGAACAACTCAGGCCCATTCACTGGAAATTCTGGGATATTAGGCGTTCCACTGTGTCTTCCAATGCACAGGATGAGAAAATCCACCATAAAAACCTGTAACAGTAGATTGCACAATAAAGACTTGCAGTATGGAGGATAAAAATGTGGTAGTAGTGTTTCTGGATAGGGAATTTCATTTCCATTGCTTCTTTCCATGCGCACCAATTTAGGTTGATACAAAGGATGGAAACAACAACAATCTGAACTCTCTTTGACACAGATGATATGAGGAGAATACACATACCTCAGTGCTACCGACTCTCAAATCCTGGACCGTGAGACGCCATCCTCCACCCTTCACCGCTCCGAATGCTGTCCCATTGCCAGACCACTGCTCCCAGCTCATGATCTCTTCCTCAGCTGCACCAAGGTACTCAACGCCAAGCACCTGGCTATTGAACCTGATGTGCTTGAGGAGGTCAAATGCACACGCATACGACCTTATATACTCCATGACCCTGTGGTGGCTTGGGTACGCCTCCCTCACGCTCTCTGGCCACGCCAGGTCTGAGAACCGGAACGCGGTCGTCGGCGCCTGAAGCCTCGTCGACTCCAAGGTGTGTGCCCACACTCCGCCGATGGTTCCGTCGGCCTCAAATACCACTGGCCTGAACCCCTTGTCGAGGGCGTGCTTGCAGGCTGCTAGGCCGCTCACGCCTGCACCGACAATTCCCACCCGCTTGCTATCCATCACTTGCTCTCTGCTTCCGAGTTCTTGGGAGGGAGGGAGGAGGAAGAAGTGAGGGGAGGCTGGAGGTTTTTATACAGATTTTCCGTTTGATTCTCTGGATAAGTTAGATTTTTTGAGATGTTGGATATTTTCAGATGGGGCCAATGGCCAAACAACCACCACTTGCCGTTTTCTTTGGTTGCTTCGTGGACTATTCCTGTCAGGCTGTCAGTGCTGTTGTTTTTGCTGTGTTATTTTTTCGTATTCAGTAGGAACCCAAGCATGCTTCTGATGAGTAGGTCTCTTTCCGAGTTAAAATATCTATATCTACACGCCATCTGATCTGTACTATTTTATTTTTTTTTAGAGAAGGCACATTTACATATAGGTGACATTGTCAGCATTGGGCTTGTTGGTGAACATCAACTTGTTTGATATCTGACATGATCACTGTAGTCATTTGGATCCATTACCATTTTGTATTTGTAATAACGCCCTATTTTAGTTGAAAGAAACGTTTCAGTTTTGGTTCATACCATCGGCATCAATTTTGATACTGACCCAGGCTGATTTACTCATCAAAATTGTGTACTAGTGTAACTGAAATCCAATTGAAAACAAAAATCCACATCCAATCTAAACTCAATACAAGATGATATCCAATCCAACCCCATCCAGTCGTTTAGTAAAATCTAAGTTGATCCAACAATCTCAAAACTTTGGTATTGAAATCTTCAAACTCACGTTCATATTACAAAAAATTTCGCTAACTTTGTCTGAAAATTGTTGTAAGTGGAGTTCCGATAAAAGCTCCACTCTCATTGGATATCCGCGTAGTCGACGGCGCCGTAAGGCTGGAACCACTCGGCGAGGAAGCCCTTCTTCCTCCTGGGGTGGCAGCCCATGTCGCGGCACAGCTGGTCGTTGTACCAGATGTTGACGGCGCCGAGGCAGGACCCGCGGAAGCTCTCCCCGTTGCTCCGCCTCATGTACCGGCCCCACTCCGCCACGCTCTGCTCCATCCGCGGCACGCTGGGCAGCCGGAACGCGCCGTCCAGGAACCGCGCCACCCACTTGGCCATCATCTCGATGGAGTAGATGTTGGTCAGGCTCTCCGAGTACCCGACCACTGCCATCTGCAGGATCCGAGGGTGCACGCACTCCCTGTAGAGAGGGACGGCGGTGTCCGACGAGCCGGCGACGATCGCCTTCACCCTGGTCGACACGAACATGTTCCTGAGCTTCTGGTCGCCGCGGAAGCCGGTGGCGAGTATCACCACGTCGGCGGGGATGACGGCAACGGCCCCGTCACCGCCGTCCAGCACCAGGCCGTCCTCGCAGAAGGTGAAGGACCTAGACCGCCTGATGACGACGCTGCCGTCCCTCACCTTGTCGTAGAACGCCTCCGGCAGCATGCCGATCTTGCACGAGGAGATCGAGCCGGCGAACCCGAACTCCGGCTCCATGCCGTACTCCCGCATCGGTATCGCCTTCTTCTTGTAGTACGCTCCCGTCAGCTTCGATATCAGCCACGCCTGGAGTAACAGACATCAGCGCTGATGTAGAGGGCTGATGTAGAGGGCCACCAATGGACATGTTGCTTTGCATACCAAGGGCGTGAGCAATGTGGCGACGAGGGTGGACGCCAGGCCGGCGCCGGGCTTGCGGACCATGAGCTCCGCGAACCTGTTCATGTAGAGGTACCCGAGGTGGAGCTTGCCCCAGACACTGATGTCGTGCAGCAGCCACTGCGGGCTTCTGCAGATCATCGTGCACGGCCGCTCCACACCATTGGCGTCGGCGCACTCGGCCGCGATGTCAAAGGCGGACTTGCCGGAGCCGACGACGACGACGCGTTTGCCCTTGACCAGCGCGGCGGCGTCCGCGTCGTCCATGTCGGACAAGTCCATGGAGTGGAGCACCCGCCCGCGGAACGCGTCGGGGCCGCCGCCGGGCGGGTACGCCGGGATGTTGGGCACGCCGCTGAACCTCCCGATGCACAGGATCAGGAAATCGAACTCGTATACCTGCGTTGGGTCGGAATCGCCGTGCCGCACGGTGAGGCGCCACACGCCGGCGCCGTCGCCACCGAACGCCTCGCCGTTCCCCGCCCACTGTTCAGTCAGGTCGTCATCAGCAGCGCCGACGTACTCCGCTGCCACGACCTGGCTCCGGAACCTGACGCATTCGTGGACGCCGAAGAGGCGCGCGTAGGCGGCGAGGTACTCGACGACCTGGTCGTGGCGCGGGTACGTGTCGGCGCCCTCGGGCCACGGGAAGTCGGAGAAGCGGTACCCGGCGGTGGGCGACTGCAGCCGGGTGGACGCGAGCGTCCGCGTCCACAGGCCGCCCACGGTGGCGCCCGCCTCGAAGACCACCGGGCGGAAGCCCCTCGCCAGGAGGTGCTTGCACGCGGCGAGCCCGCTCGTGCCGGCGCCGACGATGGCCACCCGCTTCGCCGCCTTGTGATCCATTGGCGCCACTGCCGACCGCTATCCACTGGTGCTGCTGCCTCTTGAAACCGTGTAGTGTGTGCAATCTCGATGACGGGCATTTTTGTATTTAAAAAATATTGGTGCGAGCCATGTGCCGCATTTTTTCAATGCCGGTGTGGGTTGGAGTACGTGCGATTCAACATATTAGTCACTGACTACTTTTCTGGATTGCATAAAAAAACCATTGGAGGCGGCGTAGCGGGTCGGCTATTGTGTCATTGCATAGGTGTGTGCGTTGAAATCGCATCGCAGCCTATGGTTCAAAAGAGGGCAGTCTGTAGACCAGAAACAGTTCAGTTGCCAACCTTATCATCCGACCGACGCACTGCGCGCATATATTCCACAGCAATTGCATTTCGCGTGGATAGCAAGAAGAGTTAAACACACGAGTGGTCTCTGAAACTGTTAGGGCGTGCTACTTAGGTGTATGGATTTTGAAAATGTATTTGACTTCTTATACTATGATGCACCTCTTAACAAATTTAGGACACATCTCTAAACTTGTTAAATGGTGCATCACAGGTCTAATTTTGAACCATACCAGCTACTATGATGCACCACTTAACAAATTTAGGACACCGAAATATATTTTCAAAATTTGTTGATCCAAGTAACACACATGACAAGTTCAAAGAATAACAACCGTTGCCTATTGGTTGCTGACTCCAACGTCCCGTCTCATGAACACCACGGCTAATGGATTAGAATCAAGGGGCAGATTTCGATTTATTCGTCCATGGTTCGAGTATATGTTCAAACATGTGGTTCACTCTTAGAACAACATTAGCTCTATTGGGCATGTCGAATCGCTTCCTCTAACCTAAAGAATTGAATGAATCAAGGGATGAACCGTGGGCCCTAAAAATTTAAAGCAACAACGTTAACATGAAACACTATTTCGCCATCCCTTACATATCTAACCTTAGAATTAAGCAAGAACACTAAGTTTCATCCTTAGGGTTAACAAACTAAACTGAGTCCTTAGCAAGATTTATACCAACAATATCGTCCTTATAAGGTCTAGAAATATAAAACCTAGCAATTAAATGGGCAAACTAGCAAAAGATTAAATTGTAGTTGTCACCAAGTAATTCAAGCACACAAGCAAGTAACCATAACAAGAATGCAATGTAAGACGAGTGGACAAAAGTCAACCGGATTTTTCTCCGTGGTATCGAGGTGCATGGACACCCTCATAATCCATGTTGAAGCACAAACTAAGAGTTAAGTTGCCTTGAGGCAACAACGCTCAAGCTTCACTATATCCATTTTCCATCTTCAGAGTGACAGATCTCCCACGATGCCACTGATCACTAAGACCGTTTAGGTCCTCCCAATCACTAGGTGTATCAACCACACACCAAAACAAACCTACGAAGTAACCCTTGTTCAGGGAAACAAAGAGGCCCAAAGAAAACGTGGGACCATTGCTTCCAGCTTGGGAGACAAACAAGCCCAATGAAAACATAAGGCCCATAACGCTGGTGGGCAAATTTCGCCGATATACTTCAAGAGGCCCAAACAAAACCAGGCACATGCCCTAAGAAAACGTAGGCACAATACTCTATACATTCATACTGGCCCAATGTTACAGGCAAAGCTTCTATAATTTAGAATTGGTTGGGGTGAGCCAGGACCTGCCAGCAGTGCAACGGCTCGACGACGCTCGAGGGACCAGACCCAGTGGCAAGGCACTGTTGCGGCCCCTTCCCACAAAAAATAAATTTAATATCAAAGTGAGCACATGGCCCACATATAAAATATCAAACTGATAAAAACAGATATCTTAGCCAAAAGGCTGAGAAAAGTATTATTTGGAAGAAGCCCTGCGCCTTCTTTTATAGCTCGTAAGACCGCCTCACCCGCCTTCAGCTAGCGAGGTGGTACTACCTGCGGGGATCCGGACGCGCGGGGCGGAGCTGCGGAGCGCAGCGCAGCGCTGTGGCTCAGCCGTTCGGAGTTGGATGTTTTCTTGTGGCCCATTACGAAGCTTGCAGCCCACGCTGCTCGGCCAGCCCAGAAGGTCGCCTTCTGCACTAGCCAGTTCACCCCCTCCCTCTGGTGCTAAAAAAAACAAAAAACAAAAACAAAGTCCCCTCCCTCACCCTCGGTCTCTCACTCACTCCCCCTCTCGTGGGCTCGTGGCATCTTCGTGGCGGCGCCGCCCTCCTCGTCGGGCTCTTCCCCGCCGACGAGCATCCACCTGGTACGCCCTTCTCCTCCCTTTCCGCTGTGCGAAACCGAGTATCTCGAAAAAAAATTCGAGAGTGTGTATGTACACTCTACACCCATTTCCTATACTGGATCCGCCCCTGCTTCATGTTTGCTTGATAGCTATGAAATTCTTAGTCTCAAAGGAGCCGGCAGTTTGCGTCTCCAGTGTAATGTCGTCAAGTTGTGTTCTTGTTTATTCATATCGTACTGCTTGGGGGCTTTATCCTCTCTACTCTGTGATAAAAATTGTTCAAGAAAACAACATGAGCAAAGTCGCACAGCTCTATTCTGCAAGTATGTAATGCTGCATCAGATTGTGGCTGGAACCTGCACAACAAGCATAACAGAAAAATGAAAAACCTAAATGTTACAATTGACTTAGCAAGTTGACTCGCCTTCAGACTCTTCGTGCTTGTTGGTAACTAATAGTCTAATACCCTTGTGACTAAATGCTACTGATGACTATATATGCTTTGTGGCAGAGGCACCATGCCTGCTGGTGACAACCCGCACTCAATTTCAGAGAAAAAGGCAGCATTGAGGGAGTCTCTAAAACAGCCCAACAATGTTGTTAATGAGCAACCCACAACTTCTCCTTTTCCTAAAGACAAAGTTGCTGCTACAGTTGGCATAAAGCGACCACAACCTTATGGCCCCTTGAGTCCGACCAACCATCACACGCTGGGCAATCCAGGGGCAAATGGCCATCTTGTGTATGTGCGAAGGAGGGTTGAAACTGATCAAAGCAAAGGGGGTACTTCTGCCCGCGGGGAAAGTGCCAGTTCTACAAGCTTGAAGAAAGCTGGTACAGGCAGCTTGCAGTCACAGGAACTGATTCTGAAGCATCAAAACGATACATCTCACACCCAGTGTCCTCCCCGATCTGCATCTCCAGCTGCAGCTGCAGCTACACCCTCCCCTGCTTTGCAATCTGCAGTTTTGTCTCTTCACCATTCTTTTGGGAAACAATCTCCAGGAAAGGTTGCTGCCCAGCCAGCTAATGATGTGACTACTAGTCTGTCACCTAGCAATGTGGTGTCCTCTACTGCAGTGCTTCAAAGCTCTGTAGCTGCTAACTTAGCACCTAGCGGTGTTTCAGCTACTAACACGGCATCTTGTGCTGCTATATCTGCTACTAATTTAGCATCTTGCAGTGCTCCGGGTACCAATGCTGCATCTAGTGATGCTATGTCTGCTACTTCTTTAGCACCTAATCAGGCTCCACCATCAAGATCAAGCAATCAAGATCGGAGTGAAAGATTTCTTCGTCTGCAGGCGTTCTTGAGACATAATGAGCAATCAGACCAGGAAGAATACTTACACAGTAAGCAACTATTTCATCTTAGTCCAATGCAATTTACTGCAATCAGGGCACACGAACCTTTTGTGTTCTCTGAATTGTACTTTACACAACTGCTATATTAATCTTATATAAAAATAGTTTCCTTTGGCTGAACTGTAGAGCTTCGGTCGTTGTCACCTGTTGGACGAAGTAGGCATGCCTTTGAGCTGGAGAAACGGGCAGCCAATCTATTGATTGAGGAAGGTAATACTTTTAGCATGACTTTTGCATCTCTAAAGTTTTATTTCAGTACTATTACCTTGCTCTAGTATTGGCGATTGTGCCTGACAATTACTTCCTTGCGCTTCAGGGAAGGAATTGCAGAAGATGAAAGTTCTGAATGTACTGGGCAAACTTGTCACCCCATCACTTCCAAACCAGCCCCCTTCTGTCATGCATCTGCTGTCGCCCATCGATGAAAAGAGTGGAAGATTTGGTTACGATGCTCCATAACAGGTGTTCAGTGACGTTGTGAACTGTTGCAGCCTGATTGACCAGAATGCAGTGGCACAGTCTTCAGTGTTGTGTTATCTGTGAGAACATGCCTATATATCCATCCGGATGAGTGAGAGTAGAGTTGACTGACATGATATCATGTTGTAAGCATTGTTATGGCGCATCATTCTGCCTATTTCTAGTGTCGTTGTCGGAAACCTGATGCAACACTGAACTGTAAGGTTTGTGCAGCTCCTTCTCAGGCCATCATTCTACTTGTGCAATTGTGAGCCCAAAGTCTAACCAAGGCAGGCTCAGAAGTCAGAAGGCTGTATGTCGGACCAACAGCAGCAGTACCTATTGTACCAGGAAATATTTATAGAACTGCTACAAGTTAAGGAATCGCGAGCCAATTTCTGTTCAGATAGTTGATGTGCTGTATTGATGTAGACAATACCAGCATATTTTTATGGATGCTGCATCTTCGGAATTCCGCCGAAAATGTCAATTCAATAAGATCGAAGCAAGCCAAGTACGTAATTTTTGAGTGCTAGTGCTAGCTCACCACGACACCACCTCGCAGTGGTTGTGTCCACTACTCCGACACCTCAAAAGTTCGTAGTGTTTGCGGTTACTAATGCAGCATCACGTGATGCATCAGATACTGCACCTCTTCTATCTTTGTTCTGAATGCAATTACACAGTTCACTCCAAACTGACTGGATCTCACTGGCTGTGGCTGTGGCTGTATCTTCTTCTATCTTCGTCTGCTGGCACTCTTGAGAAATAGTGAAACAACATGCTGTCTCTTTTGGATTTTATAATGCTCTGATTTTGATTCTCGAGTAACAAAGAAAGGCTTATTGCGATTGCTATCTTATAGTTTGTACTTTATAACTCATCCAGTCTGTGCCATCTATTGGTCAAACCAAGCCTGCCATTAAGCAGGCAACCAATCTATTGATTGAAGAAGGTAATCTTCAATCTGATTTTGTCAGTTTTGAAGTTCTATTCCATGATCACTCCAGTTTTGCTATAATTCACCTATCAATGTTCTTGAATGGCCGGATCTCTTTATGAAGGCATGGGCTTTTGGCTTGACAATTACTTCTCTTATTACGCGCTTCAGGATAGGAGCTGCAGAATATGCATGTTTTGAATGTACTGGGCAAGCTTTCGCCCAGTGATCCTCCATGATCTCCAACTCCCAGCTTCTGTTATGCCTCTGCCTTTCCAAGCCCGCTGGTAAAAAGAGGTGGTCTTCAGTGAAGTTTCTTCTCCACTCTTGCCACCTGAATGTTGGGACATGCTGATGATTGTTGGTGTGTTGCCTGCAAGAACATGCCTTGCTCTATATATATGCATCTACCTGGATGACTCGCACTAGATCGGCTGAGTGCTGACATGCTCTTTATGGTGTAAGCATTGTCATGAATGGTGCTTCTTCTGTGCTGTTTGTGGCGCTGCTGGGGGAAATCTTGATGTGACAATGAACTCTAATATGGCTGCTTAGCACGGTTCCTTCTGTCTCCACCATATTGTTCATAATCCATGCAATTGTGAGCTCAAAAGTCTAACCAAAGGAGGAAAGAAAAGTGTGTTGGACCAACAAACACTGCCGGAAATGTTTATGCAACTGCTTCAAATTAAAGAAATGTTGCTCCACAAGTTGACGTGTTGCATTGATACAGACAGTACCATTTTGTTATTGTGGATACTGCATCTTGTTTAATTTCACGGGCACATCAAGTATCAAATGAGATCAGTGGCAATTTGACCATTTCAGCCGAGATGCTTCATTATTGATGCTTACGACTAACCATAAAGGGCGTACCAAGTGCAGAGAGCTTCCGCTCTTGCACGGGTCTGAGGAAGGGTGTCAGTGGCAAGCCTTACCCTTGCTTGTGCAATGCGAGGAGACCGCGACTCGAGCCCGGGACCTTTCAGTCACAGGCGGTAAGACTCTACCGCTTGCACCAAGCCTGCCCTTCATGCTTACGACTAACCATGTTGACATAATTTACAAAGGCTGTCACCAAGATGAATTCTGGCTCCCTGCTAAGCAGCTGACTATATATACTTGTACCAGTTGAGATTTGCACGGCAAAAAAATAGGGGCACCAACATGGCATAGATCTGTGGAACACGGTTGTTTTTTACTCTCTCTCTCTCTCTCTCTGGGTATCTTCCACCAGTACCACTTGTTTTAGATGAACAACTTGACTGGTGATATACTGATATGGCCCTTTTCGCTTATGCTGAAATCTGGTGAGAGAAAAACATTGTTCGTTCGCTGAAAAATACTGTTGAAGTGGTGGGGTAGAAGTGATGCGGAGGCACAAGTCAGAACCGTCGTTATGGATCTCCATTCTAAATTGTAAGTCATTCGTCACAACGACTTGCAATTTCGAACAGAGGAAGTATATAGTAGTTAAAAAAACAGGAAAACTGAATTTTCTGTATGTAACTGTCGAGAGTAACATTCATGTAATAAAGCCAAAACAGTTAGGACTGTAGATTACACTATAGTCGGAAAAAAATGACAACATGAGAACCATGAGCTAATACACTACAGTTTGCATGACCCGTTGAAAAATATATTTTTGTTTGTCGAAGAAAATAGTTTGCATGACGCGCTCTGTGGGAGATCAGTAGACTTTTGGGCAATTCTGACCTGATTCTCTCCTCTCCCACTTGCTGTTGAGAGCGCAGCAGTTCCTCGTCATATATTTTGGCCACATACTTCAGTTAGTCTATACAGCTTCCTTACAGTAGCACTTCACAACATCAGTCGTTTCAAAGAGAGAGAGAAAAAAGAAAAAGAAACACTTAGTTTTTTTAAACGAAAAAAAAGAGAGACAGACAGTAACGACATCAGTAATTGACAAACGATCAAGGAGAACAAACCGAGCCTCCAAGCACTCTTCGCCGGCGAACGTCAGGGATACTGCCAAGTTTCAGAGGCCGTCGCTTTCAGAGCTCCATCATCATGCATTCGTGCTCGTGCTTGATGGGTTACCTTACCTACCGTGGATGCAGCTAGCTGTAGGTGCACGTAGCAAAGACGGGATTATACTCGCCTACGAATGATGAATCCATCGTCCTTGACCTGGAATATTCAACTTCCCACGGTTCGATGCAGATCAGTACAGCCTCGAGATTTCGATTTCAGATTAATTGTCAGATTCCGAGTATCCATGGTTACGTGCTACACTGTTGCATGTCTCGATAATTAATGTGAGCCCCTCAGTCAGATCGGCCACTTCCTTGCCAAGTTCCCTGTCAAAATTGCCTACCCGGGCTCCACCTTCCTGAATCCTTAGTCACCAGAACTTTTTAAAAAGTGCTCACTGTTGTTGTTGTTGTACAAGGTTATCAGACTGCCATATAGGAAATACTACTACCAAATATCAAGAAGAGTGATGTTGCCCTCTTGACAAATCATACATGAACATGCAAAAGATGCACAGAGAGTGACAGAGAGCAAACATTTCACGCTAGTGTTTACTGCTAGTAGAAAACAGCAGCCTTGATGGAGATTTGCATGTTCCCATGCCGAACGAGATCCCATGGTGGTGGTGAGTGATGACTCCTCATGAGCCCCAAAAATTAGGTGGCCCTCGAGCTGGGACCCACTCACAAGAGAATTTAACAACCAAAACGGTATCTGATTGGCAGGAATTAACAAGAGTACAAACAAGACCTCCCCAGACCCCAGCTGGTGGAGAGGGGTGCTGATGGCATATTGGGGTGCCACTAAAGAACACACAAGCTTTTGGTCAAACAATGAGCAAGTAGCAAATATATGTATTTGCAATGGGCTCTGTGGCAGTGACCCAACCAATATAAGAAAAGGGAAAGCGAGCAGGGAACAGTGGCCACTCCATTTGTTCTATATTTTCTGGATGATATCAAGGTATGTACCCCTCACAGATGAGCGTTCTTGGTGCCTTGCACTTTATCATTGATGTCATTCTCCAACTAGTGTCTTCTACTCTTCATCTAATCTAGCCAAACAATGTGCACCTCTCTCCCTCTCTCTCTACGCATGCAGCCGCAAACAAGTGCAACTTTAAACAACTGCATGATGTCCTGTCACTGAAAACTGACTAGCTCAGAAGGAACACCAAATTAGAGGTAAAACCGTAAAAGACCTTGCTTCCATGCTAGATTAAACCAGAATGACAGCAGCAGGTTCAAACTAAACTGTAGCCTGTAAACTACTAACCCTGAAGTGTAATTTCCCCATACCATTTTCCTGAAAACAGTGTTAGAATACTAGAAGGAAATAAAAATGTTGAAAATTACAAAGAGGCATCGAGATTCCTCCTGTAGATGTCACGGAATAATGAATCAAAACATTGTTTTATCGCGTTCCTCCCTGGTCAGGGCACAGAAACACGTTCACATGGGAGGAATCAAGCAAAATACGGCTAGTACAAATAGTAACTATGTCTTGAAAATATTTAAAGCAGTTCCTAAACTGGAACAACCTTGGGAATAAAAATCTATTGCTCCATCATATGATTAACCTTTCAAATTGGACTTTGGTATCCAGAGCACATGTATCTCCATCCAAACCACAATTATGTTGCTAGTTTATTGATCTTTGATCACAAGAGCCTTGGAATAACTCGTACTTTTTCACCTCCCCAAGTAAAGAACTGTAGAAAACAAATGGAAGTAAAGATCAAAGGAGATTAAATTAAAAGACTAGCCAAAAAAAAGGGCGTACCCAGTGCAGAGAGCTCCCGTTCTGTGCGGGGTCTGGGGAAGGGTGTCAGTGGCAAGCCTTACCCTCGCCTGTGCAATGCGAGGAGACCGCGACTCGAACCCGGGACCTTCCGGTCCCAGGCGGTAAGACTCTACCGCTTACACTAGGCCCCAAATAAACAAGTATCTGACCGTACACATGTAGCTTTACGACATGCAATCCTAGGAGCATGCACAAACCATATTTAACTAAGCAAGTGCTTCTATGATCTCTACTCTCTAGGAATATTGTTGAGCTCATAAAG